CACTGTTATCAGATTACTGTTATCAGAATAAAATCGTTACTTAACAAAAGTTTAAGCAACCATTAAATGTATTTGAGTTCAGCAGACGTTGTTGTATGTTTTGCCGGTGTAACGAGGCTTCAGTTGACATTTCAAACTAACAGATGGCACTAAATACAAAAATTACAATACACTTCACTTAATAAGTACATTAAGTCTAAACATTGCACATTTCAATACATTCAACTTAATATTAAATAAGAATTAGGTAAAATATTTACAAAAATAATAATTCATTGGAGACTGACACCACCTAAGATATTTTTAGATTACAAAACATGTGAATATTGTAAAAATATAAAGTTAAATAAATAAAACGAATTTTAATCACATATCTGTCTTTGAAACATCAAAATAAACGAAATAAAACTAATTTGAATACCACAAAGGTACCTCTAAAATATGTAGGTTATTAATTAAGATAGCTATAAAACATTTCTATCTCTGTTTTCTTATATCAGAGTAATATTCAATTTAGTAATGACCACATTTGCATTTAGGTACGGAGCATCAAATAAGTGGTCCAAAATTATGATGTAATTAAGACACACACAAGCATTAAACAATGTTATTATTATTATACCACTAACTTATTTGATCAGGTGAAATAAATGTCTGAACAATAGCCAGGACTCGTTCACGATGACTAAACTTGAAATAACGTTATCTCTTGATCAGACAAGAATGCCACTGATGTCATGAAACGTATATTTTTATTTTATGTTTAGGTACAATAATGTACAACTTTTATGTCTACGGTACGCAAATACTAACGTACACTCAGTTTAAATATTAACCTCAGTACTTACTAAATAAAGAACCAGTGAAATAAAATGATTTTGCTGAAAAAATAAGTTAGTGGTATCTAGTATAAATAGGTACTTATAGTCGATGATGCAAAGACCGTTTGTACAGTGATATCCTATCAATCGCCCATCTGTTCACGTTTTTCTACCATAGAAACACACTATAAATACGGTCTGCATCCAATAGTTTGTCTTACCTACAATAATATTACATTTTAAACACCTAGGTTATCAAGGAAGCTTTCATGAGAGAATATAGAGAATACAATGCGAGATTTGATTAGTTTTAGATAAATTGTATTATAATTATAATAAGGATACAGTATAATTTTGAATGCACCTATGAAATACAGCACATTAGACAGATATTTGAGGGATTGATCCTATGACCTACATATATTTGTATACATATAAGTATATTTATTATTATCTATATGGAGGTTACAACTGACAGACGAGGTGATATATATATAACGATAGTAACTTTAATGCAATTCAAGCGACCATTATAGAAAATTTCTCTTTATGTTTCAATTTTAAATGTATATGTCCAAGTTATACGCTCTGCGACTGACATTGCCCTTTTCACCTCGTCTTCGCTTTGGGAGAGCACCATCGACATATCATCAAAGCATTCAGGCACCTACTATTATTTTCATACTAAATCCTTTTGATTTTACAGCTATTTTTGTTCTATGTAATATAATATTGCACCGTTAGCCACATTATGTTACAAATATTTCGTATTTCTAATTTGATTAAATGCTATTTTGCTGTTTGTGTTTAAGGCATTTTTGTTAACAACGCCATCTCTTGACACGTTTTGTTGCGATATTTGACAGATCGATTTAATTGTCAAATTGCGTGTACTTAGCTTTATTTCATTGTGATATTTTAATCTAGCTACCCAAGGTACTAAAAAACGTTACTTATTCTTTTTAAAAGTGCTCCAAGCATTATATTTGGATGTGAATATTTGGCACCCTTTTAACTTAAATATATTATCATTTAGCTATTTTATTATAATGTGCGACTATTGTACCTACTATGACTGAACTTTGTCTGTAATAGAGCTCCGAATTAAAATATATTATTTTATTATAGAGGTAGAAGTAAAAGTAGGTTTATTAAAACAGTGTAATAAAGACTTTTGTATCCGACTGTACATTTACACTCAATTTTTAGTTTGTGCATGTCATGTTGGAAAACATTATTTAGACGCAATAAAATTTTTTGTACTTAAATTAAACACACTGTTAATCATTACGTTCGATATTTTCTAACCGATTTTATGTTAGAAAGTTCTAATCGATCGTAGAGATGGGAAAAGATACTAAATGTAATGGCACTCAATATTTTGATTTCTGACTAATTTGGATCAGAATATTGGTTTGTATAATATAGGTATATTTAATACTATACCTATGTTGTTTGTAATTTGTTCACTACTAAATAATTGATCGAGTGTAATTGTGATTTTATTGTGACCATAAGTGATCATGTTTCTGTTTAGTTCTATTATGAACAAAGTTCTTAAAATATTGGTTTGATATCTAACTAACTCGCACTGTCATTGATTATGTACAAAATCATTTAATTCCTATATAAACGCGTTAGGTACTAATTCAATACCCGTGTCACACAACTGCTAAGCTCATATATACATAAATAGTATAAATATCTAAATTTTTATGGGTTTGACAACCCTTTCCTTTATTCAAAATAACGATTCACATTTTGACAAGCCTTAATACATCTTATTCAGTTAATTTTGAGTTCTATACCGTTGTAATAAGTACGTGATTGATGGCCAGCATATATTTGCAAGATTCATTATCTTGTACTAAATATCCGTCTTAATCAAAACGGAAGAAGAGTCAATATCGCTTGTCTTATCTGTAGATAATGTTTGCCAAAATGTGTAACGTTATTCTATAATGTGAATAAAGTAGTTAAACTTTTAATTTCACTTGCTGGCACTAGATGTCGCTGTCACTCAATTGTTGACTTTCATCGGACATTGTTTACCAAATATTCTTATGCTTTAGTACTTTATATAATCTAGACATTTGAAAAACCAGGGATTGTTCTGTGCAGCCGAAAGCATCGCCACTTTCTTTCTTTCTATTGTCATTTTCTATCGCTTTCCAATAGTTCCTTAGTTTTCCACCCACATATATAAACTGGACTAAGCATATAATTTTGTAAAAGTTTATTCACAAGAACAATAAACCTATATTACTAACATTTTCATACAATTCCTTTTACTGGTATTCGGAAAAGAAATTGACGAAACTATCTACAGTTATAATAGGTGTATTGGTTTATGAATAGTCGCAAATGTTAGCGATATTTTAACTACTTTATGTATTATGGTAAATATAACAGGCAAGTCTTACTAGGCATCTGTACTTCTTATCATGGTTTCTTATTATGCATGAAGTAGCTTAGTGTTTCAGATTAGAGTATCAGGTTAAAAAAAGATTCACAGGATCTGGATTTGAGACATTACTAGGCGGATCTCGATTGTGATCACGACAGAAATCGATTGCTAAGTTAGAAAACCATGTAATGAAGGAACATCTGATTGGTCGACCTATTTTCTGTCCGAATCGTTGTCAAGAGTTCCATCTGAAGTATTGTTAATAACTTAAACACACACATGGAAATACCTAAATACCTAAATTCCTTCAAAAACGACCTGCCTGTCCTATTTACCTTCAGAACTTATATTCCTTACAAACCTCGTTTTGTGACCTTTACCATACTTCGCATTTATCTCTAGGGTTCATTTTGGACCCTATAGGGCAGTTGAACTCTTCAGAAAACTCCTTCAAATTTGCTATAGGTCCTATGACCCGGTATTTGGCGGTCGTATGGTCATCCTTTTCAATTTGCATCTTTGTAGATTCTTTGGTCATTGCTGAACACCATACCTTTAAAAAGAAAAGTATTTCTTTGTATTATTGCTTCTTATAAGTATTCATCTTGCTGAACTACTAAATATCTATATTGTTATCGGTGAAACTTGTTTCTAAATAGTATTGTTTGTAATAGCAACTAATAGATGGCGTTAAAATCGTATTCTACTTCAATTTGATAAATCTATCAAAACTGCTAAAATTATTAACTATTAAAAATTGTATTTACTCCAAACAATATGTTAAAATCATGTTGATAAAAGAGGTGAAAAAATATCTCGAAATGGTTAAATACTATGTAATAATATAGACTAATGTTTACCTGAGCAAAAGAGATGAAGAACAGTTGCCGGTCATTGTACTTTAATCCAGGTAGCGTGAGGTTCACTTTCGCAGTCCTGCTGTAGTCCAGATACGCGTGGAACGATGCCTTCAGACCACCGTTGTCAGCTATATTCTCACCTGAAATACAGACAATAATTGAAAGTTTTTTTTTTATGGCATAAGCCGGTAAACGAGCAAACGGATCACCTGATGGTAAGCAATCGGCGTCGCTCATAGACACTTGGAACACCACGCGTTACAAGTGCGTTACCGGCCTTTCGGGGATTAGGAGTTTGAGGATCGTTGGAGATTCAGGAATTGGGGAGATTGATGAAGGGGAGGTTAATTAGGCCTCCGGTAACCGCACTCGCACGACGAAACACAACGCAAGCGTTGCTTCACGTCGGTTTTCTGTGAGGCCGTGGTATCACTCCGGTCGATCCGGCCCATTCGTGCCGAAGCATGGCTCTCCCACACTTAAAGTCTTGAAAGTCTTGAAGGTTTTCATAAAAGAATTGATTACATACTTATGACAAATGAATGTTGTAACTTGTGGTACATTCACTTCGTCATTGATATTAAATACGAGCCGTGGTTAGCCGTGTGGTGATGGCAGAGAAGAAAAAATTTGTTACCACCCCTATTTTGCCCGCAGGTATCGTAAAACCCATCTAAGGAACTATTACACATTTGGCAAAGATCAAACTGCAATGTCCAACGCGCCAGATAAATATAAATATCCTTTTAGGAGGCCCATAGGTAGGACTATGGACCTGCGTGGTTTTAGAGAACTCTAGTACACTGTCAATTTACTATTGATTTTGAGATAATGGGTTATAGTTTAAAATAATATTTACCAAGGGTCTGTTTTCCATTCAGCCGCACGCCATCTACTGAGTAATTAGAGTATTGTTCCTGGAAGCATTTGGCGCGCCTCTTAAATCTCGCTATGGTCGCATTGTTCCACCATTGGTTCAGATTACCATACCTGTAAAATACAAAAATAATTTATAAAATACGATAAGTAGGCAAATCAACAACATTTGTATAGAAAAAAAACTGAAACTTAAGAATTAATCTACAAATAATGCTACATCAACTTTATTTTTATAATACTTGTATTCGATAGGAAAAAAAATTAATGCAATTAGTTATTCAGGTCTGCATTAACAACTAAATAACGTACACTGAAATACATAATATAGCGCTAACCATGTAGTTAAATTTAGCCAACGGCTAGATTTTCTGGAATTAAAAAAAAACTTTATCATAATATGTATATACCTGTCATACTCCCTTCCCTGGTCATCAAAAGCATGAGTCAGTTCGTGTCCCATCACAACCCCCATGGCACCATAGTTGACTCCCTTAGGGTTGTCGCCATCATAGAATGGTAGCTGAAGTATACCAGCCGGGAACACAATCTGGTTCTTTGTGGGTGTGTAGTACGCGTTCACTGTTGATGGTGTCATGCCTGAAAAAAGAGATTTTACGTTACATCTAGATTTCAATTTAATTATCAAGTTAAAATTAGAAAAAGCATTGCATTGATATTACAATTTTGGTAATAACGCCATCTACATTTTGAAACAAACAGCAGTACAGTAAACCTTAGTTTTAAATTTCGACATAAACATGTCGCTGATTTTAAATATTTTTTACAAAAAACATTCTCACCCCATTTAGTCTTGTTTACAGGCTTGTCCAATTTATTCAGGTCATTTTTCAGGCTGAAGACATTGAAAGCGATGTTGTTCTCAAAATACTCGTTGGGTTTGACTTCTAGTTCTTCATATTGCTTGTCTAGCTCATCTTTGTGGAGAATGTAGTCGGGGAAACCTGGAAAAAGGTCATTAACATCAAAGACTATGATCAAAAGAGCGGTAATGTCTGAAAAAATTGATGAAATGAAATGAAAAAAAAAATCTGAACTGTTTAAACGACTTTACAGTTAAGGGTATAATAAAAGGTTTAATATTACATCAATACCTACACTAGTTATTACCAAAGGGGTACAAACACAGTATTTCCACCTCTTTACAGCATTTAACTGTCGACAAAAACTATCCAAGGCTAATTCAGTTATCTTAAACATCGGAGCCATAGTTGGATAACTAAAAAGCTGCTTAATTTTTTTTTTAGTGCCGTAAGATAGTATTTTTATTATTTCTAGCAAACCTGGCGAACTCTGTTTTGCCACCAGATGGCTTCGTTTTATGTAACATTTCGTTCAGTGATTAAAAGATGAAGAAACATTTTTTTTTTTGTTTTATATTTTCCTCACGGAGCCCGAGACCTTTCCAACGAATGCAAAACCGTGGAAATTGGTTCGTGCGTTCTGGAGATATAGCGTTTTATTTTAAAAGCTATTTTGGTACGTTATTTGAATGCCTCGAACAGGGGACGGAAACTGGTAGATAAAGACGGGAATGATGACGAGTTTCGAACCGTAGAACTTAACCATATGTTATTTAAATATTTGCGCAATGTATATACATGATTCCTGATTGGTACCAAACCCAAGCTACATCTGATAGTACAACTTACCAATCATGTCAGTGATAGCATCAGCTTTAATTTCCGCATCCTTTCTGGTCTCCGCGTCCATCCAATCCAGGTTCTTAAGGTTTCTCTTGAAAGCGTTACGTATGTTGTTGATCATAATCTCGCCTTGAGTCTTCGCTTCTCCATGGAACACCTCTCGGACAAACATAGCTCCTACTGCGAAACCTGGTGGTGGAAATGAGAGGCTGGTTAGTTTTAGTAAGTTAATAACATACCACATCTAACCCGCGGAGAACCTAACGGGTTACCGGGGTTCGGGCTCGAAGTGTAGTTAGTTAGAGTCTGATACTCCCGTCTGACACTCCCGACTTACCCAGGCGGGAAAAGGCATTCGATGATTTTTCCCCCTTAAAAAAAAATCTTTTTTCTCTCCGAAGCGGAAAGGACAGGGGTACCCATTTTTATCACTCCTACACTTCCAGCTTTGCTGGTGTCGTATGATTTGACTGGGAGACACCTTTGGTCGGAACCAGGCAACCACGCTCTCTGGTCAAGCCAAATTATGTAAACCGAAGGAGGTCCTATCGTTCTCCCACCCATATTGAATCCCCAAATACGTCATATGACCAAAAGGTCAGTAACGCATTTGCAACTCCTCTAGTGTTGCCAATGCGAATGTTCGTGGTTAATCCGGATATTCGTTTGCCGATGTAGTCTGCCCAGCATTGAGATTATGACAAACCCTGAGATCTAATATTGGGTGGTAGGTTCTGCGACCATCAGATACGACGACCACAACCACTTTACTAAGAAAATAAGACAGTAACATACTAACCAACAGCATTATTAGTATCAGTTACACAGTATCTCCAGGATTCCTCAGTGCCCTCTGACCCAAAGAGTGCCTTCCTCAGGATCTTGGTGGCATCACGGAAGGACTTGGAGAGGTACGTCGAGAGGGACCGGGATACTTGCCACATCATGTAACTTGTTAGGGTTCTGTAACAGAAAGAAGACTTTAATTCGTGTATGTTTAGGGTGAATTTTCGTTAAGGGTATTTAAAGTAGACTATATATATTAGAAGAACATGTCAGTGATTATATTTGTAGATCCTTTAAACTGTCAAACACCAAGCGGTCACCGGTGACCGCAACCTATTGTTCTTTAAACTGTCAAACACCAAGCGGTCACCGGTGACCGCAACCTATTGTTCTTTAATTGTGTCTATAAATACGGTACTCGACGAGTTTGTGTCTATATTGACGGTGCTCGACGAGTTAAGATGTAAGTCAAGTCATCATATTATGGGATCATAAATATGAGGGTTATCCTAAATGATGTAAAAAATCAAAGGTATCAAATCACGAATCATCACGTTTTAAATGAATGAGCAGTGAGTTATCATCAAAAATTTATAAGTGTAGTGATTACCTTTGGTCTTCTTCAGTTTTGCTGTATTTCTTAATGACCTTTGTGAGATTCTTGAAGTATTCTGGCGCATACACTACTATTCTTTCCGTGTCCGGTATCTGGAAACATTAGGTACTAAGTAAGATACCTAAATAATCACGCTTGTAGAGGTAGTTCTACTGAAGACAGAAAAGTGTGAACGTGGTAACTTAGGATATCTAATTGATCAATTGTAAGAGCGAATAGAGAGCATGAGGAATGGTATACGATTCATTACGAAGAAACTTCACGCATGTCTCCCATGAGGGTAGGCAGAGACTATGGAACGCCAATTGCTACGATTCCTACATACCTCTTTCGCTTCATCAACAGTCGTCAATCTTTTCGTGCATGCTCGTCGGTTAAGGGTACTTTTAATTTGGCCCTTCTTTAATATATTGCTAATCTGATTAGTATATGTTCGTCTAGGCCGCCCTCTACCGACGGCCCCATTCATATCCGCTCTGTATACATCTTTCGTAACTCTACTTTCATCCATCCTTCCTACATGTCAAAACCAGCGTAACATTCCCTTTTCAATCCATGACACTATATACCCACACCATTCTCGAATAACACTATTTTTCACTCGATCACTCAATTTTATTTCACACATACTTCTCAAATTCTTCAAGAACGATTCTTTAAAATCTAAATTAATAAATAAATAATACTCACAGTCCTATTAACCAATTTGAAAGCGTCATTGAAGAACATGGTCCAATTCATGAAGGGGACCTCTTTCTGCCATTGCCTGATAGTGTACGGGTTATATAGGCCCTCCTCATCCCTCCTGTCCTCAGAGGGTGTAGTTATATTAGCTAGCTCCGTTTCAAAAAGTATTACTTTGTTCATCTGCGCTCTTGATTCCGTTTTATTCGCTCCTAAGAGGACGCATATGCGCGTCATGTAGTCTAAGTATGCGTCTAGGACTTTTTTATGCGCCGTTCTATTGAGGTAGTTGTCTCTAGTTGGGAGGTTTAGACCTCCTTGGTCGAGCTGAAATGATAAAGAAGACTTTGTTAGTATCAAAAATAGTTAAGTGCCACTGTATTATTCTAGAGCTAATAATACCAATGAAGTAGGTATACACAGAAACAGATTAAACCTAGAGAGTGCACTAGACAAGCACCTCATAGGTGCTCCTATTTTTTGGCGCGTCTCGTGGCGTCCCTCTGTAATCTGCAGCTGGCATTCTAGGCACTTGCCTAGTTTGCCTTAGGCCTTGTTCAAACGACGCTAAAGTTTAGTCGACTAGCGATATTTAGTAGTTCCCTCTCACTTCCATTTTGGGCCAGAAGCGAAAGAGGAATACTACTTCGACTGCACGGTTGGTGCGGTGGCTGGGCGACCGGCCGTGCAACGTGTCGCGGGTTCGATTCCCGCACGGAACAACACTTTGTGTGATCCACAAATTGTTGTTACGGGTCTGGGTGTCATTGTGAATGTGAACTTGTATGTTTGTAAACGCACCCACGACAGAGGAGACAATCCTAGGAAAAACGTTTAAAAAAACACTGAATATTTGCTACTCGACTAAAATATCTACTAGCGTAGTGTGAATAAGGCATTAAGGATAGTACGACTCTGGGTACAAAGTCTGCTGCTGGAGGCAAGTCGCTTCTGACCAGCAACACTGAAAGTCTTCGAGGAAGGCTCATGTTATAGGATAACAATGATAAAGTGCAGTCACAAATCTATTTTTAAAGTACCTACGCAGTTTTTAAGTGGTAAATCTGTTCTTCGACTAATACAAGGTAATAAATAGTTTGGGAATACTCACCACAATGACATGTTTAGACGAATTCCTGTCATCTTCAGTAACAGCCCAGTTGAATAAACCGCCCAGGTTGTATCTGCAACATGTTACACCGTGTGTTTACAAAATAGATCAACCAACTCTGTCACGATCACAGAACAGAAGTTTTAAGTGTGGGAGAGCCATGCTTCGGCACGAATGGGCCGGCTCGACCGGAGTGATACCACGGCCTCACAGAAAACCGACGTGAAGCAACGCTTGCATTGTTTCGTCGTGTGAGTGAGGTTACCGGAGGCCCAATTACCCTCCCCTTCCCCAATCTCGCAAATTCCTGAATCCCCAACGATCCTCAAACTCCTAATCCCCAAAAGGCCGGTAACGCACTTGTGATGCCTTTGGTGTTCCAGGTGTCCATGGGCGACGCCGATTGCTTGCCATCGGGTGATCCTTCTGCTCGTTTACCGGCTTATGCCATAAAAAAAGAGAAAAACAGCTATATTCTGTGGTCAGAATCAATTTTGGCGATTGCTTATCGCAAATTCTGCCTATGAATACTATTGGATACCAATCTATGAACTTACGTGTTCTGTACATGCTGAACCAACGTCTGCAGATCCCAAGGTTGTTTAGACATGGTACTCGGCAGTATATGCCACCCACCCAGCTTCTTGATGACAGCTAATAATGGTGCCTCTCCTAGTTTCTCAATGGTCTCATTCGCGTCTATACAGGCGTCATAGTAGATTCTGGCTTTAGCTTCTGCATCGTTGGGATTTGAGATGTTCACTTTTTCTAGAAAGGGGGAAAAAATGTTATTGTGACCGTGATTATTTTTACGTGGGCGATGCCATAGTTCACTTCGGCACAAATGGGCCGGCTCGACAGGAATATCACAGATAGAGTGTGAAACATTGTTTCGCCGTATGTGGGTGAGGTTTCCCGATTCCCTTCCACCCAAAAGACACGCACTTGTTACACATCTGATGTTGTGGGTCCATTGCTTACCATCTGCACATCAGGTGATACGTCTGCTCTTGTCACAATAGAGGTATAGACCATATGGCCATTGGCAAACATGTTTAGAGTAACTGCATTTATTCCAGATAGGGTGCTTTTGTTAAAATTTCCAATAAATTAATCAATACGACCCCAAAAATTTAAGCCGGTACATCTTGCTTCATAGTTCTACTTACAGCTAGTTGCTAGACCAACTACCGCATTTAAGTCAATTTACAAAATAGTTATAAAACCAAAAACCTATATTTGTTCAATGATATATTATAGGTAGTTTGTTATTTTATTTAACCTTATGTATTTACAGAAATATTATAGCGTTTTGAAAGACGTCAAAAACCCATGAAGGCATATAATAACAATATAAGTTTATGTACAAATATTAACACGAATGTACTTTTTGTTCGTGAAATATTGTTTGGTGCTATGTACTTATACGATTGCGTGGTAAACAATGATCGCATATTGTGGTGTACGGAAGACAAATTGCAGAAGGTTAACTTTATTTTTATAGTTTAGAAAACGTGTATTTTCTCCTGTGTCGTGGGTGTATTTACAAACATATAAGTTCTCATACACATGACACCCAGATCCGGAACAACAATTTGTAGATTACACAAAGAGTTGTTCCGTGCGGGAATCCAACCCGCGACATGTTGCGCGGCAGCCGGTTGCCCAGCCACCGCACCAACTGTGCAGTCAGGTAACAGTAACTGGGGTTATTGTTAAGTAGTTATGCCTATTGTGGCTGTCAAACTACTATTTAACTTTAAAGAAGGCTTTATTTCTATTACCTTATACTATTGTCATTAGTCAGTTTGTTTGTTGACTTACATTTTACACAAAAATTAGATTTTTTAAATTACCATCTTCAAAGTAAGTAGCCTTTTTCGATAAATTGTAATGTTTTTGAAAATGTACACGTTAATAATTGTGTTGTATTGCTAATAGCCTTTGCTTAAATATTCGAGAATTGGGCAGTTTCTTGAGTCAAAAATAAATTATTTTGTTTTTTTTAGTCCAATTAAATATTGAAAAATTTTATTCTAGCATTTTTTAGATCTAAGTGTGCTATTTAACGCGAAAATATGATGACGTCACAAGATTTTAAGAGTATTTTGTACAAAATTCATAAAACAGTATCGTTTTTGAGTTTTTCGTCAACTACCGTATTAAGTAGGTTCCTATTCACTTACAGCTCAGTACTAGACGTTTTATTTGAAACACAAAAAAAATTTCAAATCAATAATAAAAATCTCTAAATATGCATTTCTGCGCGAAGTTAAACTTTTGATCTCAACTCTATAGTGACACGACAAAGTAAAAATGTGTAACATCTAATTTTTTTTACATATACAGTATTACTCGTATATAATTCACAATAGTTTACTAATACATTGTGAATATACTATTTAAATGTTATTGAAACAAAGTGCCGAAACTCGGTACAGCTAGGGTATTCTGAAAGCGTCAATTCGAACTCTCGAAGTAAGCTCGATCGCGGTCCGCCATGTCTTTAGTTGTGAGATAATCTCGACCAATGACGGACGAGAATGCGATCGAGCTCACATCAAGAGTTTCAATTGACATCTTACAGAATAGCTAAGTAGTTAAAAAGTAAAGTGTTTTCGTACAAACTATTTGAAACTATAATGTTTTCAGTGTTTTTTTTTTTTACTTAATTCCTTGAACCCCTCTGTGGTTCGAAACTAGTAGAGCTTTTCTCAACGTGTGTAACCCGCGATTTTTAGTTTATTTAGTATTAAAGTATTAGTAGTAAACTTAATTTCTTATTGGTAGATTAGTCGGAAGTGGAATTGCCAAGCCAAATGTCTCGGGTTCGATTACCAAAAAAGTGACATGCTCCATGGTAAACTGCATCATTGCTTACAGATCAGGCGAGACAGTGGTCAAACGTCGGCCCATCAAGTATATAAAAAAGTAGATAGATGCCAACATATTAAGTTCTTAGGGTACCCGATATTTTTTTTCTTTAATACCACGGAATTTCGATTTGTGAATGATATTAAATAGCAATAGGCTCACCCCCTATCATATGGGTCGCGAAAGATAATTTAGATGAAAAGTGGGTGTAATATTTTTATTTTAAAATACACTAGGATTTTCTCCTGTGGGTGCGTTTACAAACATACAATATCACATACACATGACATCCAGTCCCTAAACAACAATTAATTGTGGATCACACAAAGAGTTGCTCCGTGCGGGAATCGAACCCGCTACACGTTGCGCGGCAGCCGGTTACCCAGACACCGCGACAACCGTGCAGTTCAACGTTAAATTCCTATCCCATCTATCTCTAGCCATCAGACCACCACGGATGGGGCCCAATAGGGCTGATGCCGATACCGAGTCGCGAAGAACCTAACGGGTTACCGGGGCTCCGGCTCGAAGAGCAGGATTAGGAACGGGGTGGTTTTTAGTCAGTAAGAGTCTGACATCCTCCCCCCTCACCCAGGCGGGAGCAGCCATTCAATGATTTTTCCCCTTTAAAAAAAAACCTATCTACCTCTACGTAACCTTTCTGGGAGTAAAAGATGAGATGATAAATTGTTTATGTTACCGTCTATTTTGACATCAAGGAAATATTTATTTCTATCGAAATCTCAATGAATGTGGGAGTTACAAACATTTGAATAAATCTATCAATGAGACGTTCAAACGTAAATGTTTTTGGCTATCGAAAATGTTTTGACTTTGTGTTCGAGTTTAAAAGAATTGATTTAAGCGCATTCCTCGCACTTTTGCTGATGTTACAAAGAAATATCGCAAAAAGAGATATCGTGTTTCAATTTCATATTTAGGACAATTCTAAGAATTTTCTCAATTGAATTTGTTCGCAAATATACGACTGTTAAAATCAGTTGATCTATTACATAACATAACATCACGCCTTTTATCCTCGAAGGGGTAGGCAGAGGTGCACATTATACCACTGTACAATGTAACACCCACTTTTCACTATTTATGTTATGAGTCCCATGTAATAGGGGGTGAGCCTATTGCCATATACCGGGCATAGTTCCAGACTCCGTGCTACTACTGAGATTTTTATAAAAACCCAGTAATACATTGCCCGACCCGGGAATCGAACCCGAGACCCCTTGCTCGGCAGTCGCAATTGCGACCACTCGGCCAACGAGGCAGTCAATTGTAGTTGATCTATTCTATAACTATCAATTCGAAAGATCGAAGTAAACTCGATCGTGGTCTGCCATGTTTTGTTGTGAAAATAATCTCGACCAATGACGGCCAAGAATGCGATCGAGCTCACTTGGAAAGTTCGATTTGACATCCTAGAGAATAGCCTGTTTTAAATTTGATCTCTCGATAGCAAAAAGATTATTGAATTTAAAATAACATAGTTTACTACTTTTTAAAACTATTTTCTTGTTTTGTTTTTCCTTTCTTTCATAGTGAAGTGTACTTAGACATCACAAAGTTTTGAGTTCAAACTTAAAGCGGTGAAAAGAGTAAGGTCTTGATTACCTTTTAAGGGCATAAAATTATCAAATGACTTCTCCCGCTTTCAGTGAGGCGAGAGGGAGTGTCAGACTGACTAAAAACCAACCCGTTAATACTGGATTGCTCCGAACCGGGGCCCGGTAGGCCGTAACCCGCAAGGTTCGAGAGTTCTTATTCTCCATCATGTTTTTTTTTTCATTTAAAAACAGCACCAAAGAACCAAGATCCCAAATACAGCCGACAAAAACTGATCTCAAAACAATTCTACTCACAAATTCTAAGAAAAACAGCTATAACTATAAGCTATAAGTTAAGGAAAATGATGATAAATATTTTTTCTCTCGCTCCGTCAAACAATCTGTAAATGTCTATGACGTCCTCTCATGGGGTTATGACATTATGATAATTCTCATTGTTGCCATAACAAATAGTGGGTACTGGGTAGGTAGGTGCGTACTGCCTACAAATATAGTGTTACGTCACTGCAAGGAAAGATAAAAGGCGCTTCGCAGAACATTTTTTCTTGTTTTTACTATCACGTAATAGATGTTTAGTCGTGTCATAAACGCAGAGTAGATTACATCATTCCTACTCTTTTCGTGTGTATAGTTAGACTGCACATTAGATAAAGACTGGGCAGTAGTGTTCCCTCATAAAGTCGAACTTTTTAAACTGAAATATCCTACCCAAACCTTCTTACTGTGGAGACGAGAAATCTTAAGAGGGTTTAATGTTATTGAAACAAAGTACTAAAACCTGGGTACTAAAATTCTGAACAATTTCAATGCCAATTCGAACTCTCCAAGTGAGCTCGAAAGCAGTCCGCCATGTTTGAGTTGTGAGAATAGTCTCGAGCAATGACGGGCGAAAAACCCATCGAGCTCACTTTTAGGAACGAATTGACACCATACAATAGAAGAAGCTCATAATTGAACAGTAAACGTAAAAATCTCAAGAGTATTTTACCAAAACATTTTCAGGTATCAAAGTTTCACAGTCTACAAACCAAATACCGAATTTAAATCACATACCAAGAGCATATCTGATGATCAACTGGTTTTGCAGCTCAATCTTGCTAAAGATGCCCCAGCTGGACTTTCCTTCAGGAATAGGGTTGTTCTTGATCCAACCACCACAGGCAAACTCGTAGAAGTCTTCACAAGGATCCTGGGTCTCGTCCAGAGCCCTGATCACCTCGCTCGCTGTGTAGATACAGGAGCCCTTGAGGCACACCGCTTGGTCTGGAATAAAAGGGTAATAATTTAATTCTGAAATGGAAAAATACAATGCTGTACAGAAAGAACGTATGCCAGAATAGTATCATTTGGGGTTCCATTGTCACTCCCCACTGCAATAGGAGACATGCGTGATAATATTATTTATATATGTATGGATCTCCCATAAGACCATTTATTGTTGCGTGTAAAATTACGTATCTGTAAACACACCTAAGTACGCCCTTGGACAAATTACTTGTGTTGGGGGAAATGGATAAGAAATGTCAACTAAAACCAGTGTTTTTGAAGAATTTAGAAGAAGAGAACAAATAAAGAAATACCCAAGACATAGTGTAGTATACTATAGTAATGAATTCATCAACAGTTGTCTAGATATTATTTACGACTCATAAAGATGGCCGTTAACACTAATATTGGTCTCCCATAAAATTACAAATAACAATGGATCATATTGTTCCGCTAGTCCAATTACTTTTATACATACTTATTTTATCTATGTGTTGATCAAAAGATGGCCGACGGGTGGTCGTGGCATATTTTGTAACTAGTATTCTCGATGCTTCATGTGATGCAGTATCATTATAGCTAGCTTGAGACCAAGCTAGAATGGAAAATAGTATTTTTGATTGCTGATATTTTTAATAATGCACTTTCAATATTATTTCCTTCCGTCGAAAGTCTCTATCCTCTACGAAAAGGTTTACATTAGGCCATATCTCAATCTTCAGCTTTTTTCTAGTCATCTCAGGTTCGTAAAATGACCGCGAAAAATCAATGTAGAATTTAGACGTATTGTCACTCTATTTCGAGGCTATTCTTTCCTACTCATATGGAATTATTTATTGCTTGTTCGTGGACTCCTATACACTTCAGTCGATAATAGTCCACGAATAGATACCCTGATGATTCTTACCTTTGCTCTCAGGCTGATAACAGGGTGGCACAGGCAGGTAGCTGGGTCCCCTCATCGTCAGCAGCAGGGTGACGGTCAGTAGTACAGCCACGAAGAGTACGGCAGCTATCACCATCAGCGCCCGCTCCAGGCGGGTCCTCTGGTGCCAACCGATGAATGAGACTCCCTGGAAAGAAATAGTTTATTTTAAATTGTAGTTTTTAGAGAATCGTGATCTAGTGCAGAGACTACACCAAGGTAAAAATGGTGTTAGGCGCCATATAGCTATGTCGGGCCTGCCTACATCCCTTTAAAAATTTATCATGTTTAGATTCATAGACGTAAGCTGCTAAGCATAAGTCTAAGTCTTAACAGGACAACAGACATTTATTCAAAGTTCTGACTCCAGAATATTGGTAATGACTATTCTTAAACAGTCCTTATTCAGATATTAAAGCCACCTATCCAAAAACCCATCAAGCATCAAGAGTAGCTTAATTGTACAATTTCATAGTAAGATACATGCATTCTATACATATATCGGATGAACTTGAGACCGTCAAACGTGAGTAGATAATTACCTAATCAGGTTAAGTAGCGAGGTTTGTTGTGTTGTTAATTAGATCCATTTTAATATGTTTACCAGCGTTCTACTGTACAACGTAAATCTAATAAGAACTACCTCATCAGTGAAGTTATTTGAAATGGATTTAGTTCAAGGACAGGAATGTATACGTATTCTTTCATCACCATCTAAAGCCAGTGACAGATCACTGCTGCACTATGGACCTCATACATAAGAGGGTTTGCCATGAACTTCACGCTCAGTAGACGATTGAGTGATCTCAGTTTTAATGTTTATCTTTTTATGGAATAGGAGGCATACGAGCAGACGGATCACCTGATGGTAATCGATTAGCACTGGCCATGGATACAAATATTATTTATGTGTAGTTCCTCTGCCGGGTGTCAACACTTGCAACCGTGGCGGTGACTTTTCTATTCATCTATCACCACAGAGGACGATATGCAAATTCAAAAATATTATTCTCTGCAAATGTTGCTATTATCTCACCCAAACTTACTACATATCATGTACTCGTAGTAAGACTATCAGAATGAATGACAAAACAAAACAGAAAAATTGGGGTCAGAACCTCCACCTTTTCCGAGAAAAGGTCAAGACAAAAAATAAAACCAAAATAACTTTTGATGACTACTGATAGTGATAGCTGCCTTGAAGTATAATGGGACTAAAGACAGTAATTTACAAACAGATAATGATAACCTTTATTTTTGAAGTCGGTTAAAAAGAAGTTTCTATGAGCACAACTCCTCATGAGCTAACTGAGCCCAGCTTGGTTTTGGAGAAGCTTATGTTCAGCATTATAAGTGTGGGAGGAAATAGGAAGTCTATAGAAATGTGCATCTAGTTTTCGTCCTGACAAATCATCAGGATCTTAGTAATGAAGTGGCCGGTAAAAGCTAATTTGTCTTAAGAGAAATATTTGTTTGAATCGTTCTTAATTTTAAAGGGGTTCTCTTATCTAAGTTTCTTAAGTGACAACTTTGTCTGATTGACGTCATTCCATCGTCACTTAAAGCAATATAGACGAGAAACGCCATTTTGATTCCGATAGCGCGTCCGAAAGAGGATAGAAGTTGTTTGTTGATATTTTTAAAACAGTATTACATGATGTTTTTATAATAACTATCGTGAGACACAAAACTCTACTAGTTTCAAACCACAAAGGGGTTCTTCCTCATGAGCAGCGTGCACGGTCGCGGCGATGTCGTGCAGCCTACTGATTTTTAGTTAATTTAGTATTACATGATGTTATGAAGACAATGCTAATGTGGTCGCTATGAAGTGCAATAGGTTCTGAATCATGTGGTGTATCATCATTATCACTATCAGTGACTGTGTGTTCACTATGCAGTTCCTAGATGTAAAAGAAGGGTTTGTCATAATCTAACGTTTGGAAATTGGAGTGAGGAGATTAAACGGTTCACAAGGTTTAGCAAAGAGCACTGACCGATCTCTGTTCATGTTTAGCTCTTTCATCGGCTCTTCGACACTCGTGGTAAAAGTAGGGGCGTGACAAAATTATGTAGGTTAGTATAGGTAATATTACGCTGAGCATATTACTAGGCTCTCTAGAAAACTAGAACACCTACAAATATAGGTATTTTGACCAATGTTAAATACCACTTCCAGCATGTGGGACTAAAGAGTTATTTAATTACTTACTTACTAGGTTATTTTGGAAATTCTTCCAGAGCAGAGTCTAAAATTGTGTTTGATCTTTACCTAAGGAGTCCTAAGGAACATCGTAAAGCCGATCGATAGTTATTTACTGAGATCGGGTAACTAGGGCTTCAGAGAAGGCAGGTCAGGCTAAAGGTCGCAAATTCAATCTAAGGTTCATCTTATTTCGCAATTTCAACCGTAAAATTGGTTGACTTAGATTGAAAGTCATTTGGTGGACGATTATTGCCATATACCGGGCACAATTCCAGACTCCGTGCTACTACTGAAAATTTATAAAAACTTATTAATACTTTGCTCGAACCGGAAATCGAACCCGAGACTTCTTGCCGTACTTGCGACCACTCGGCCAACGAGGCAGTCATCTCTATAATATCACAATATAAGTGGTGAAATATATTGAAAAATGTGAATAAACATTCGAAGCAAAGCATAAAAGCAAAACATCACAATAAATACACGTTATAGTCTGTATATCTAGGTATGTGATACATAATATATTTTCCACATGATATATTTACGAAGGGAGGGATATCAAATGGCGCGTTAGTAATCAGATCTGTTTGAACCTAGTTACGATAAGGGATGCTGGGGGAACGTGATCGAATCTAACTCGGTTACTGGTTTATAAGTTATGGAAGATATTTTACTTGAAAAAACATGTTTTTTGTCAATAGTAACAAAACTTGTTGTATGCCTGATGACTAGGATATTTTTTTTTAATGTGGCAAGCCCGCCACTATCTCTCAAAGCCACTGCAATTCCTGTAAGCCAGGATCTACAGTAGATACAACCATGAAAACACCGGAACACTGAAGTCCGGCGCGTCCCAGAGACATGAGTAACTGTCTTGGTTCCCGCAACGAAGTGAATCAGAAGATATTATAAGAGGAGAAGAAGAAAATACTATAGTTTCCACTTCCCTCAGTGAATTACTGCAGGAGACAATAAATTAAGCCTCAAGGCTTAATAAAGGCCTAAAGGTCAAAGAAGAGACTGTACAACTGCGTAATAATTAATCATTGTAAACTCAGGGCACCTATAACATATGCTCAACCGGGATCCCCTGACGATCGTAATGGATACCAGGACTCCGGTCCGAAGCAAGAAGAGGAACTTTATTCAGTTAAAAAGTTTGATACTCCCTCTCGCCTCACCTTGGACGAGAAGTCATTTGATAACTTTCCGTGCTCAAAAAAAGGGTACCTATAATATCAAAGATACGAGGAATTAAATATTTAAATGATTGTAACTAATATTAATGATTCCTGTTATAGTAACCTATGGAGTTTCTTGCTTTGTTCTTCTCCATAGGAATCTACACCTTGGAATGAACAAATAGGTTCTCTTTTAATATTGTTTGTGACGTTCAAAAGTGTCTTCCTGGTCTAATTGAAATAAATGATTTTGACTTCGACTTACAATCACGGACTCATAATACTGGGTGTATGAAAACGCTGCGTAATATCATTGTCAATACCCCATCTTTTTATAAGACAGGAAGGAAAACGAACAAACGGATTACCAGATGGTAAGCCAGCAACGTCCATGGACATGCTCAAAACATATAACAGATACATACTATGTAACTTTTAGTATATTTTTCAAACGAATTTCTAAGAAAAACGTTTCTAATTTGTATATACAAACAACATTGTATTATTTAAACTATATAAACACGCAGTCAAATACTCCATTCAAATCTTACTACGCAAATCTAAGAGAGTTGATTAAAAAACAATATCGCTACGCGAAAATGAACTTTAGAACTAACAGGGTACAGTTGAAAATAAGATTGATGAGAAAGAGTAGATTAAAAAAATAATTGCTATGTGAAAATGGACTTTAGAATAAACTAAGGTATGGTTGAAAGTAGTTATTGTTGGACACGTGGATAATTATAGTAAGGTTTAAATGGTCTAACATTAATTAGTTGTGTGACTGTTATTATTGTAATTACTTTGAAATAAATTGTCGTACTGTGACGTAAATGTGAGTTGTTTGTAGAAAAAAAGTTCATACACCGTGTAATCTATTTAGTTTTCGTCTCACGGCAAAACAACTTGCCGTAAAGAGTACCTACTTTCGATGTATAAAGTAAAAACAAAACAATAAAGATGTCGTGTCGCCGTGAAAGACTTAACGGGTTGCCGGGGCCGGCTCGAGGGGCAGGAGTAGGAACGGGGTGGTTTTTAGTCAGTAAGAGCCTGACACTCCCTCCCGCTTCACCCAGGTGGGAGAAGTTATTCGATGATAATTTAATATACTGTCTTGGAGAACTTAAAGTGTTACCGGGGCTCCAGCTCGAAGTGCAGGAGAAGGAACGGGGTGCTTTTTAGTCAGTAAGAGTCTGTCACTCGCTCCCGCCTCACGCAGGCGGGAGCAGTCATTCGATGATTTTCCCCCCTCAAAAAAAAAAGATGTCATATTTCTTTTTTTGGAGTCAGTTAATTTACTATACTGAAACCTTCTCCTGAATGTAACAAATACTTTGCTGAAAACCATATCAAAATCGGTTCAGCTAATCGCGCACAAACATACATATACAGGTCAAACTGAGTACCTCCTTTTTTGAAGTCGGTTAAATAGACAATGTAGCAAAACAGATTCTCTCTTTTGGCGAAGTGCAAAAGTAATAAGGAGATGTCGTAACCTCTGCCCTAATACAGGGTTAATGGTCGAGGGACCAATGGCGGGATCCCATCCCGAACAGCCGATTATATTGTTAACGTTGCCATTTACGAGTTACGATCGAATCTGCGTTCTTAGCTATGATAAGGATGGATGTTTTAGAGATTTTTAAGCTTTAAGAGTACTTGTGATTAAGGTCTAATAGTTTGGAAAAGATAAAGGAATTGGAAGTGTCATTAGAAACTAGCTACTACGTTTTATAAAAAGAATAAGTAATTAGAAGATAT